TTTCCCTTTATTTTTCACTCTTATCGTCAATGCTATATTAGCGATCGCGGTTGCGTTCTGTTTAGCTACGGATCGGAATGTTTTTGAAACGATGATACGAAACTTTACACGCGTATTTTCCATCTCGAGATCAATGAAGGAACAAACCAGCTGAACGTAATTCGATAGACTCAAAGTTTGATCGAGGATAGAACTGTTCCTGGTTCTATATAAATCCCGGGAAATTAAGTTTTACAAAAATTGTAGGGTAACTTCGCGGTTACCGTAGTGGAGCAGCGGAATATTTTTCAAAATAGACCGGGAAAGGAAGGGAAAGGAGGGGAAGGATAGGTGGAAAAAAGGAGCACGGAGAGGTCGACAGGCGCATTCGAAGTTTCCCGGATGGATTACCGAGGCGGTAAATCAATAAGATCGGTAAAGTTTCCGAGTAAAGTTGTTATTAAAGATCAGAGGGTAAGGAGGCTCGTTGGCCGGCTTCTCGAATACGTTCTCAGCTCGTGACACCCGGTAAGCGAGCGGAATACCTTATAAATGGGGTGGAGGCGGGTGAACGGGCGAAAAAGTTTTATCAGACATCGAATGCCGGTAGTTGGTAGGAACGGACGAGTAGTTTGGCTTAGTTTCAGTTTCCTCGTTGTGGAAACTCCGGCCACGGAATTATATCAAGCAAAAGTATCAAGAAATACGTTTCCGAAGCTTATTGCTGTTGTTTTCAACTGAAATAATGGCCCGCGTCGTGCAGCCTATTGCCTTCTATATCGGGTGTCCGAAAGGTACCCCAGATGCTTTTGTGTCGTTCGCTCACAAAATCCTGGCCAAGTTTTCACCTCGTCGATGACAACCTTCTCACGAATTCCGAAACCGAACATCGTAGGATTGTTCTCGAAATTTAGACGGAACGCATCCGTTGTTCCCATTTTTCAGACGTTTCTATCTAAGCTTAACACCGAGCACGGGTAATTCAGGCGAAGTTCAGGTATGCGTCTTTTAACCCGATTCAACGAAGAGCATTATTCGAGCACATGCGCGACATTCTCTGGACACTGAACTCCACGTGCTACTATTTGTTGCACTGCCGACGAAACGGTGTCGAAAGCGTGCGGATGCAAATGTCTCGCTTGCCATTCCTCTCAAAAGTCGAATGCCTTCCAATGTGGAATTTTATTCGTTATTCGCTGCAAGGACTTCGGTAGAATTACGTGTTACACCAAGGACAAAACACGTACATTTTTCGAAATGACTTTCTGCTCGCAACTAACCAAGTTTCTCTTTGTATTCTAGATGGAAACACCGCAGGAACGGGTCCCGGTGACCCATGGACAGGAGGCGGGGGTGGCGTACAGCCCCCGTACAGTGGATACGCACCTCCTCACCTGGCTCAACCAGCCTACCCCATGCACCTACCCCACGACCCCATGGTAAGCGACCCCCCCTCCCCTCTCTCTCTCTCTCGTTTATACGTACGATACCCTCGTTGATCGTACGATCCAGGCGATCCATCACGCGTGACTGCGCTCGTTTCTTCGGACTTGACACTCCGGCAACGTCGTGATAGACACGAGAAGAATCTCCCCCAAAAATTCAGTCTTTGGCGTTCAGCTGACGACCAAGTCGTTGTATTAAAACCTTCCGCCTGATCTTTATATTCTCGAAGATCGATGTATCTCAAGGAAGCAGTTTCATTTGCTTCTGAATAAGAATCCCCTCGATTGGATCGTGCTTGTTAATAATGGACTGTGTCACAAATTTCTTGGTTCCCAGAGAACTTTGCAGAATGTTCGTCGATATATTTTCATCGTGCAAGTCGCAGAACGAGAGAAGTTTGTGGTGAAAAATTGCAATCTCTCGGTTAGGTGCTCAGCTGCAGAACCATAAATTCAGTCGATACGTAGCTATTTTTCCAACTCCTCGGAAGATGTCCGTCTCGCTTGACATTGTTGAAATCAAGCATTGACTCGGTAATTGTCGCGTTGGTTTGTCGATTTGAATTCGCTCCCACGGAGGACGGTAGTAGATGTACGTCGATGACGAATCTTTCTCTTGCTTTTAATTTTACTTCGAAACAACCGATCGCCAATGCTCGTCCGATTTGACTCGAACCCACGGTGGTTGAGAAACACTGTTGACAGTGCTTCGTGTACTCGGAGCAACGTCAAATGACTCACTGGCTTCTATATATAGAACGACTCTCCCGCTACTCGGTGTTTCTAGTCAAGTGCAGCCTTCGTTTGATTTACGCCGTTCATGGTTACCACGAAATCCTCCTGTTCGCGGCACCCCGAATTCTGGTCTCGCGTTCCTCTGGCCAGCATCCTCTGGCTTCTCCAAAGTCATTTGACGCATCGACACTCTACGAATCTCTAATTGGTCCCGGGCTCGAATCGAATTCGAGCGAAGATAAGGGGTTTTGGACGACCGTGTGGCGTCGTTAAGCGCGAGTTCGATCGTCGGAACGACCACGAAAGGTGTATCCAAAACCGGATCGTCGAAGGGAGAGTGCGTGCGTTATGTATAATGGAGGTGAACGTTCTACAAAATACGCAGAACGTCGAAGGAAACCAAGACCTTACCGGTCGAAAGGTTAAAACATTTATGATCCTGCAGTTTAATGACCCCTTCTCCTCGGAGAAGCTGTCCTACGGTGCAGCGGAGAAACCCTTTCGTTGGAACCCGCGTCTTATCACTGCCACGATGTTTCCCAATTCTCGATGGTCTTGTCGAAGAGCAGGCGGAGGTTGTGGCGCAAGAGAGAGTGCTGTTCGTCGTTAGTTATCGTCTCGTTCTTTCCTTAGCGATCGCTTTCCTAAAGCGAACAATTAACAGCGTTTCTCGGTCGTGAAATCGAGCGAGGGTCGCATGCAAACTCCCTCTAATTTGTTGATAAATACGCTTCACTGTTCAGCCCAAGACGATGACTTAAAATTAGACGTTTTACGAGCAAGCTCCAGTAGGTGCGAGCGAGGGTTACACACCACTAAGCGTATCCGATATCAAAGCAGTTCTGGCCTGGTCCATTATGAACCAGCACAGTTGGATTCAAAATATCGTCGTCAGTCAGCCTCTGCAAGGATTCCGCGTCGCGTATAATTCTTGCTAGAAGACGTTTGCCATGAATTTCGATACTTTGTATTCGCTACTCTGTTCTCTGATATTCGAATAATTTGTCGTCTACCTGGTGTTCGGAAAATCCTTGTACGTTTTTGTAACGATATTTCCCGTGTAACGTACGATTCATGTCATTCACAATTGCAGGCGTATTCTGCCATGTCGCCAAACGGAGAACCGGCGGCGCCGATTCTGGGCTCGGCGGTGACCAGTGCGGCCTCACTGCCACCAATGTCGACATTCCGGGGTAGCGGCGCAGTTGCGGCAAATAACGGTACCGGTGCACCATCCCCGGCATCATTGCAATATAGTCATAGTCCTGGTGCACCGACCACCGCACCCCCCGCCCCCAATTCTGCTCCCACGTCGAACCAACAACCCACCACGGGGGATAACCTCGGCAAGACTCTCGCATCTGTAGTAAGCACCAGAGTAAGTATCCATTTTTGCCACGACAGTTCGGCATAAATAGGCTTAAATAGGCTTAAATAGGCTTAAGTAGGCCTAGTTTTAATAGAAAAGTATTGTCTAATCTTCTGCCCGATGTGTTCGACCATGTAGATTTATCCCACGGACCAATCAGTATCGAGTTATAGCAGCAACCCATCCACACCAGTGAGTTCGCCACCACCTTTGACAGGTTCAGCGCCAGGCTGGGCACCAGGTGCTGCGCCAGTTTCTCCACATTTCACGGCGGATCCCAACCGTGGAACCATTCACATGGTATGCATCAAAGCTTCGCTGTTAGCAGTATTTAATTTGTTTCTTCCAATATACTTATCTACCATTATTTCACCCGACACTTCCAACGAGATATTTGATTGTTTGTTCGAGAAGCACACGCATGGTCCCTCCGGGTTTATCGGTGAACTAGATTTCAACGTGGGTCTCGTTGGAAAGTGACGGGTGCATCTCTGAACGCAGACACGCTTCATCACCGTTTTGGTGCGCTTTAGAAACAGGTCAAGGACGTTCGTAACAGAAACCTCTCGTGCTCGTTCACTTCTCTTACGATATTTTATCGTCTGCACTATGGTGACTCGTTGAGAGCCCCGTTGTTACACGCACTGTCTTTATTTCTGCTCGGGGGAGGATCGGAATGGTTTAATGATACATCGAACGGTTACAACGTGAATCGAGGAATCTTTTTATTTTAATTATTCGATTCTGCCCTCCATTGCACCTGGAATTCGCACAAAGTAGCATGCACTCGATGCACTGATAATTCATCTCGTGTGTTGTCCACGTTGCAGACCACTATTATTATGCTCATCCTCCCCCTGTTTAGTTACTCAAGTCTCGATCATCTCGCCGTCATTTTACACGTTTCTTTCCTTTTTTTTTTTTTTTATTAATTTTTTTTCTTTCTTTTGACCGCCAATTCATCCTTTGTTTGTTGTGAACGTTGTGTTGATTTGGTTGTTCTCTTTTTTTTTTTTTTGGTTTTGTTGTTGCGTTGGTGTTGTGTGTGAAGCCGGCGCCTGAACAGCAGAGTCTAGACGATGCCATCGGCTTCCTTCGCGACCACGCCGAGGTGAGGACTGCCGATTTTTAGTTTTTTTCTTCCCCTCTTGTTTGTTCTTGTTTCTGATCCTCTCACCCAATCATTCGTAATACCACTTTGTGCATGAACTTTCACACACAGTACGGAATTATGTGCGAACGATATATACACTGTGATCTCGACGTTTGCTACAACGAATGTGACGTTCTCGGCGAGATATCGCGTACCTTTTTCTTGCAAATTAATCATCTCACGACTCGACTTAATTCTCACACTGTACGTGCATTCTCTTTCCTTTTTCAACGGTGGAAAAGAAAAATTGCAGTGGGAGAATTAACGGCATGCCGAATTTCTGTCACGCTCATTAGATTCCGTCACATTTAAACAGAATCCTTTCTCACTTCACAAACGCTTTTCATCGTTTCGAAAAATGTATTTAGTCCACTATTATGCCAGTGTCAAAGATATTTCGATAAGTCGCATGTAAACGAAACATCGATCAGCGTTGCATCATTGACATTGGTATCTGTGGAAACTTGAAAGAAACTCCAAACAGCCGTGTAATCGAGTCGAATTTCGGATATTCTGTTGGTACAGGGTACGCGGATGGAGGAACGACTGGACGATGCCATAAACGTGTTGAGGAATCACGCGGAGAGCCAATTAGGACTTCATTTAAGTCCCGTTGGTCCACACGGTTCCATCTATTCCCACACATCGCCACCTCAATTGGACCACCTGGTAAGATTTCCATTCTACGATCATATTTTATCCAGCAGAGAAATATTGCAAAGACGTTAACGATTTCTTTGTCATTTACAGACGAGTCCTCATCCTGCGGTAACAGTAACGCAACCTCAGGGTTCTTATTCTGGTCTTACACCCACGCCCGACACAGACGGTTCCATCAAAATCGAAAGGTTACCTGTAACAAATGCCAGTAAGTTTCAAATTATCTCTTTCCTCTGTGCGTTCTAAAAACCACCGAGAGCTCCGTGGAATACAGAATATATTGGGTACATTGGCTAGAAAGGTATAAAAATGCCTGATCGCTAAAGATGGTAAAATACAAGTGTCAATGAGCCTTGACAATAGCTAATTGGAATGGCTGTGTTCTATTCTCGGCGTCGCATCATCGGATAAATACTTTTTCCCATGAGCAGCGTGACAGAAAGAGAGAGAGAAAGATTGCGGAAAGAAGAGAGGAGAAGGAGTTCCCAGGTGTTCTATGTTAGAGTTAGAACCCGATAAGGAAACATTAGATAAATCGCGCGAAGTAGCTGCTATCCTGCACCATAGTCGTGCTTTTATTATTCTCGGGGACCTCTGTCTCCGGTACCGTGTCTTTTTTACTCTTTGTCTCTGCTTCTGTCACGCGTTCCTCTTGTCGGTGAACATTCGTAATCCTTCTCTCGATGCTTGCTTAATGGAATGCACAAGTTTTCCAAGGGCCCTTTGCAAAGAAGTGCTGTTTCCTCCGTGGCCTACCATTTCTGGCCATCGGAATTCGGAACGCACGGTTCTCCGCCTATTTTAGCCAAGAATGTCTCTAAACACATCGAAGTTTGTACAGTCATCGTTCCAATTTCTACTCCTTCTTCTTCTTCTTCTTCGTCTTCTTGTAATTTCTTCCTTTTTCCACGCGAGAAAAATGTTGGTGATACTTTCACTGGTACTTCGATACTGAGCTCGGTTACGTTTCAGCGGATTAGGAGGGAAGAAATACAACGGCGAACCTTTGCACACAATCGCGGGACTGATTTATCTGGCGCGCGATTCTTGCGGACTTTCATAGAAACGCACCGGTACGCGAGTTAATGCATTCGCGAAACACAGCGGATTGTCAGGCGAGCAACGCGTTTAAGGAGATGTGGTTGAATCAGTATCGAATGTGCGCGTAAAGCGCTTCCTGCTAGTAATTGGACACTTTTCACGGTTTCGTGACTAAGCAGCGTGCCCAAAGCTCGAGGGTAATATCGAGGACTCGATATCACCGTGTACGGCGAAGGTCGTCAAGCTTCCGGGTGAGCTCGAAGCGCATTTTTCCTCTATCCCTCGTGACCGCGATTCGTCCATGACTATCCCCATAAGTGGATGGATAGACGATCGATTTTCTGACAATTGAAACACGTTCGCAATTATCGCGCAGAAATAGGCAAGTGAGATAAATGTGATAGGATGGAAAGTGCCATATTTCTCTGTTCCACGAACGCTGCTCGGTGTATCGCGATGCAACGGATGTCTAATGAGAATATTAAACGGCGGTATTAATAATGAGCAGAATACGTCTCTTTAGAAAAGAGAAAGGACCCGCCGGACAGCAGCGGCGGTGAGACGAAACCTTCGAGCAGCGAGCTGGCTGCAGCTGGCGTGATTGGCGCGGCCACGGTCAACTCTACGTCTCAGGGAAAAGGGACGAAGAGATCGCGTAGATAGTAAGTATATACCGAATGTGTACTCTTGTCTGTGATTGAGACGCGACGATATCGATTATAAAACGACAGTAGTGAAACGCATTAGTAGCGAGCCAAGTAGAAACAGTCACTCGTGACCGCTAGATCGGAATACAGCCTTACCATGTCGAATGCGACGCGATGAATGAAAGCTTAAGGGAATATCGTCAATCCTTTCTTGCCTTGGACTAGAACAACGAATCGTAAAGCAAGTCGAGATGGTAATGCTGTACACCGGTCATCCACCAGTCGTCGAAACGTTAACGAAATCGATCTCTCGTTGCTCTCGTGCACTGAAAATATGTAACTAATCGATTCTCTTCAAACAACCGTTGTTCGAGCGCTGATGAAGACTGCGACGATCCCAGCACCAAAGCGGTGCGCGAAAAGGAACGTCGCCAGGCCAACAACGTGCGTGAAAGGTTAGTGAACACACGCAGTAAGCACTCCAGTTGTTACCCCCAAGTCCTCCGACATCCCTTATTCGTCCCCAAGTTTAAATCCTAATTTTCTTCTGGTATGCATGCCCTATTTAAATCGCCAACGGTAAGAACGAAGAAGAAAAGAAAGGGGAGAAAACGAACACGCAGTTCAATAAAAATATTCAATATCTCGATGGCATGCTTGCGTTATTTTCAACATGAGGCCCGTATTCTAGCGTGACAATTAAAATGTTTCTGGTTAAGCACAGCAATGATACGAGACCGACCTAAAGATCCACAGTTCTCGTGCTCACCTCCCAATCAGTTTCATTTTAATTCACCCGCGATTCGGCTCCCCCCATCCCCCAGGCATGCTAACACAATTTTTAGAATGTATAAGCACACTTCTGTACTCGATTACCGTACTTGAACGTTTGTCGCATCGGGTATTAGACCATTTATCATGTTGTACCGATTCTTTCGCAAATCCTTTTGTACACTGTTGTAACGATTTCTTGCGCGACTTCGATGAAAGTGAAATACGAAGAAAGATCCTCTTGTGTATAATGCAGATTCGTTTCTTTCAGAATCTACATCGTTCGAAGATTATCCCATTTCCCCTGTGCTCGATCTGTCCCGATATAATTCCATAGCATTCACAGCATCCTTTCCTCAGGAATCACCTGAATTCTCAATGTTCTAGGTAACAGCACGAACTCGGCTCTACGCGTTAGATCTTCATCTTTCTCTCCGCGTGATTCTTTACTGGTTTGTTCTCTGTGCAAAGAATACGGGCCTTCGAGAATGGAAACCTGATTTCTGTCCATAACCACAAGTCGATTAAATAGCTCTGCGTGTGTTCAGCCAAAGAGATCGCTTCGTAATCGCAGTCGTATCGATTCAGCTAGAAATCGCAATCGATCGAAGCAATAAGTATCTTTTCCTTTTCATCGTCGCTTCGTCAGTGTTGATTTTTCGTTTCCTGGCTAACTAAAAATCGTCAATTTCACTGCTGTCGAATCGTGTGCTCGATCTAGGGCAAAATATCGCCCGCGTCAGGTGATTAATTGAGTATTGTTATTGCGCAACTGTTGTTCGAGCGCCGAGGACGAGGATGATGATCCCGACGTGAAGGCACAAAGGGAGAAAGAGAGGCGGCAGGCGAACAATGCTAGGGAAAGGTAAGAGACTCGACGAGAGCGTGCAGTGAATTGATCGTTATTCTACTCCTGCCTTATCGCGTTAAGCGATTCGAGTAGAGTTTGGCCCGTATTCTATGTATATGTGACAAACCGCGATCGTAGTTTCACGTTGGATCTCTCTTGTGCACGGAGTCCGACTCTCGTGCTATTATGTAGAAAAATACTTCCTCGTGTAAGCTGTGTCCCTTTAAAAATAGTCTCCTACTTTTTTTTTTTTCTCTATTTTTCTATTTCCGATGCTATAGTTTACACAACATTAGTAGAGAAACGACGGAAGCCGTTTACAAAAGAAAGAAAATGAAATGAAAGTTCGCTAGTCGACAACGAGTTTATTCCCACTCGTATAACCCAGGTTTGTCGGTTTAGGATACGTATCAGAGACATCAACGAGGCATTAAAGGAACTTGGTAGAATGTGCATGACGCATCTGAAGACGGACAAACCTCAGACGAAACTGGGTATCCTGAACATGGCTGTTGAGGTGATCATGACACTGGAACAGCAAGTTAGAGGTAGGTATATTCTTGCGTAAGATTACACGGATCGAGATTGGAACAGCGCGTATACCTTTTTGTTACAGAACGAAATCTTAATCCAAAGGCAGCGTGCTTGAAGAGGAGGGAAGAGGAGAAAGCAGAGGATGGGCCTAAATTACCTGGACATCTAGCAGCGCACATAGCTCATCCACATCCTCACCCACACGCGCATTCTCAGCCACCTTTCTCTGCAATGCCTGTAAATAATTTATCGCGTATTAGTACGACGAAAATAATAGGCTGCGAAGATAAAAGCAATACTAACCCAGAGAATGGTTTATTTCAGGGCCCACCACCGCCGCTTCAACACAATCCATCGCAGCCGCAGTAGCAGCGGCTCAGTGGCAGTATGATCCTGTGTTAAGGGGTAGATACGGCTTAAAATTGTCATAGGACTTTTCGAAGTTTTGCGGGACTTGAACATACAGATTGGACTTTTCTTCACCGTGCCAGTTATAGGAGTAAAAGAAATTAAGGATATTACGAGGTGTACGTCGAGAGATTTATTCTTCGAACGCGTATTAACGCACTACGGATGCGAGAAAGCTTGACCGCTGCTTAGAAGACGCCAAAGCGAGCGTTGTTGAAAGGATGCTGCGCTTCCGAGGCAAAGAACGCAACTGTGTACGTGTGATCTAAGTGCGAACGTGTTAACCGGTAATATCCATAGTTTTTCTTACCGATTTTCATAGACGCGTACAAGGAACTGCAAAGAAATAGAGTCTTCTGTATGTCGATGTGAATGTTTAGAGAAAGAAAAAGAAAAGAGGAAAGAAAGAGCGGGTGCTTTTAAGAAGCATCTACCCCCCTCCCACTCCCCGACGGCGGCTTGAAATTATTTTTATAAATAGCGAGAAAACAAAGGAATATGGTTCCTCTCTTTCGAGATGTAAGAAGCGTGTAAGTAGCGCGATCGAGATTTTATCGAAACGATCGATCCCCGCTACCAATACACCCCGACTCTTGTTGAAATTGCCCATTTTTTTTGTGTATGTAATCTATCGAGATACGTTGCGTTATGTTGTACGGAGCGGTAGCTCTAAAAGGTGCACTCTTGACATGGCAAACGACGAGAGAAACGTTGACAATAACCGAGGATGATCGTAATGAACGGCGTGCTTCGTGAGCTCATCGTTTTCACTCTCATTGTATCGGATCGTTTCCATCTTTCTCTCCGATCGTTTTCGAATTCAGTAGTGTTTCTAGGATTCTCGTAGCTCGTGTAAATATACAAAGACCACAAGACGGAAAGAACCGCGAGTTTTTTTACGATGGTACTCGGTGATTGGTGACGAAAACTGTACATAAAAGAGACGACTGTTTCGCGAGCGTTCAGTGTGAATCGAGGTCGCATGATGTTCGTTCTGGCAAATTTTCTGTACTTACGCGTATGAACAGAATTGATAAAAAAGATCGTTGGAATAACGGTCGACGAGAAGTAAAAAAAAAAAAAAAAAAAAAAAAAAAAAAAAAAAAGAGAAAGAAAGAAAGGAAAAGGATGGATAATATGAAAGGAGAAATTCACGTTGAACGGTGCAGGTACGATAGAATCGTTTCTCCGTTAGCGGTTCGGACCATGAGGAAACGCGAGAAAATTATAAAGCACAAGTGCAAGGTTTCAGTAAAAATGCAGTATGTATAGGTTAACGATAGGGGAAAAGAAGGAAGGAAAAACAAAAGGAAAAAGAAATGAACGAATTACCTACCCATCGAACACGGAAAAAGTTCAAACATATCTCTCGCATAATTGTATATATACAGCAGTAACGTACGCCTAATCAATTACCTTATTACGATTATTATTATTATTATTATTAATTGATGATCGCCGAGGAGATTCTTCGTGAGAGTAAAAGGGGACATTTTTGTTTTTGAACAAAAATATAGCTCAACTCAATGTGTACCCAGTTGCCATGTATTTTAATTTATTTAGATTCTTAAATAAATTTTATTGAATAAAAAAGAAAAAGATATGAAGGAAAGAACAACAGCAAGAAATAAAGCAACCAGCGATGACACTTATGTTCTGAGTGCCCGTCTTTTGCTCCGTCTCTTTCTGTTCTTCGCTCTTGTTTTCTTGTTCTTTCTTTCTTTTTCTCTTTTTTTTCTTAAATTTGCTTCCGTTGTATCTTTGGGCTCCGTTTCCGCGAATGGTCGCACATGATGATCAACTATCCGCTCCTAGGATATATCACGCGTATCGCAGCTATATTTTTCTTCAAAGGCATATTGACTGTTTCGCACGGTCCAAGAGCATAATTCTCATACGCGCCTCGTTCTCTATATTTTCGTCTTTCTCTCGCTGTCTTCACGAATCCGATCGACGGTTATTTTTTCCAATCTCTTACTTTCTCTGCTTTTCGCTTATCAAGCTATCATCGTGCGAAGATGAATTTCATTTTACACGAGTTCAAGATGGGATAGCCACGAAAAATTCGTTAGAAATGTAATACGATTAGGACGAGGACCGTCGAAACACGTCGCGAAAAGTATCGATTCGTAACTCGCAATATTGCATCTGTTCTCGAGCAGAGAATCGTGCCCAGCTCTGATCAAGATAACTCGCACAACCTCGCTTAAACGTTTAATTGAGATTTTAATAGCAAATCGCACGAAGTCGCAAATATTATCTCGGAAAGGGAAATGGAAGAAAAGAAGAAAAGGAGAAAAAAGAGGAAAGGGCGAAAATCAGAAACACGTAGATTAATTATACAAAATATTGCGATAGGAGATCAGCGGCGATTCATGAAAGATAAACTAGGCACGAAAACACGCATACACGGATGCGATCACGCACTCATATTCGCGATGGTAATCATGTAAAATAATAACGACAATAAATAGCTCATAAGCCCGTCTAAGCTAGGCACACCTGTCGATAGTCTTAGATAGTCGAAAGGAAAAGAGGAAAGGCGAAGAGATTGTGCTACTCGATGCTACTTGAAATCGAGCACTGCCAAGGTGTTTCGTTGCGCAGTTCTTTGGTGTGAACGCCAAAAATTCCTCTGGCTTTTAATCGTCGGTATCGATTGCATTTGACACTCGCGAAATCGTACTTTGGTTTACTTCCTTCATCTCAATTCTTCGTGTATACTTAGTTCTACCACTAGACATTTCTCTTCTTCGATCACGTGTAAAATCTGCGAGTTCTTTCTTTTTCTTTTGTTAATTTAATCCTTGATCGAGGGTATTGAGTATTGATCGTTTAAAGTTAAATATTGCAACTGTGAGTGTCAGAATTCTTCTCGCTCGAGTCTTGAAATTCGTGGTGCAACTTGCATCGATACAATCGTTTTCCATGAAATGCCTATCACTCGTTGTGTTAAATAATGGAAAGAATGGAAAGAGGAAAAAAAAAGGAGAGTGTTTAGTTGAAATTTGGCACAGGAAATAAGTAGGTTATTAATTAGTGATAATTGCGCGGTCGGACGACGATGGCGATGACACTTCTCGTTTGCTCGGAATACGATTGTCGACAAGTGAAATCACACGTGTATATTAGATCTTAACAACATTATTGTATAATATGTAATAAAAGGAGAAGCGTTTTGCAGGTCTTGCGTGGCTAGTTTGCGTGACACCAGGCCATAGAGAGATAATCAATCTTTCCGACATGCATGCGATTAACAAAATGAGGTGCGACTTCATTAACAATGATGAAGCACAATCTGAATATTATGCATATATTGAAAGAGAGAGAAAATGTGAAAAAGAGGAAGAGAGAGAAAATGTGAAAAGAGAAAGAGAGAGAACGAGCGAAAGTGAGAGAGAGAATGCGTGTGCTCGTGTTAAAAAAGAGAGTATGCGTGGAGAGCATCACGTTTGAGAAAGAAAAAAAAAATGTATAATTATCACTAGTAATATTATTATCACTAATAATATAATAAATGTGCCATTTTTTCCATAATCACGGTGTTGCCTGACTACGGCTTCTCTTTTCTTTTTTTTTCTTTTTTTTTTTTTTT